CTATTTGCTATTTGTGCTGTGTAAAATGTAACATTCTGATGACGCTACTTGTTCTGATGCTTTGTTGCCTTTATGTAACTGTTTATTTTAAGACTAAGTGTTCTTTGTTGCGCCGCGTTGAGTGGCAGCAAATTACAGCAGCTGTGTCCTCGTTGTGTTCTTTTCCGTGTGTTCTTATGTGTCTGTTCTTATGGTGGTGTCTGTTCTTATGGTGTTATGTTGGTTGTTCTCTATTGCTACTGTAACAGAAATTTCCCCACTGTGGGATCAATAAAGTACCTACTCTACTCTACTCTACATTGTGCCTTTTATTTAATCAGCCTGCTTACCCATATCTCCTGACTGCAAACCAACTCCAGTGATGCTCAGCTGGCCCTGCTTAATGTGAGGTTACTTGCTTTTATCTTATTGTCTGTGAAGCACTTTGGTCAGTCTTTCAGCTGTTGTAAAATAAATGTTGATTTGATAGAGTGAGGGTGTCAAGGTCAGACTTGTAGATAGATGTGTCATGTCAGGCTTTCACTGAGAGATCAGAATTCACATGCTGTCAAAGACTTGCAATTATTGTTTACTGTTTAACTGTAACGAGATCCTTTCGCCTGTCCTTCAATGTGTTAGTTGCCTAACCCTGCAGATACCAGCAGAAAATAATCTGGATCAAAGGAGCATACTGGCTAAAATAAAGCCGATCAAATGCAGATCCATCTATTCTACTGCTGTGGTTGATAACCTGAGGGTTCCTGCTTCTTTCTCATCTCCAATTTTATGTCAGTGTTGAGTCTACTTAGCTATCTGTATGATTGTTTTTTTGAGTTTTTGTAGATTTCAAGTAGGGCTGTGCCCCCAGTAATTATAACAAACACACACATGACTTATATTTATATAATTTTGTTATGCTATAGTCTATCAGTGATTCTATTACTGTAGTTTTATAAAGAAAACTGTATCAGCAACACATTTTCATGTTACACTGCACAACTACAACTAGTATCGACAAACCAAAATCAGGCCAGTATCAACAAAATCTGAACATTAATACAAAAAGTAGCTGTTATTCAGTGCTCCTCGGTTTGCTTTGTGTTTCATTTTATTTCTATTTTTCACTTTCCTCTCTATAATTATTTGCAGTGGAACCTTGGATTGTGAGTATAATTCCTTCTGGCAGTGTGCTTGTAATCCAAAGCACTTGTATAGCAAAGCGAATTTCCCCATAAGAAATAATGAAAACTCAGATGATTCGTTCTACACCCACTTATCCATATAAAATGATTACAGTAATACAAAATACAGTATAAAGTAAAAATAAAACAAATTACCTTGCACTTTACCTTTGAAAGTATCGTGGCTGGCATGAGGGGCCATTGTTGCAGTACAGATATTGACTATATGAGTGAAGCGCGAGAACCATCGGCTCAGTTGTGACGTACATCATGTGACGCTTGGCAGACAAAGCGTACGTACTAATCATATTGTGAGACCTCACTCGTATATTGAATCAAAATTTTTTGCTTGTCTTGCAAAACACTTGCAAACCGGGTTACTCGCAATCCAAGGTTCCACTGTACTAGTCTATGTGAGATAATAATTCAGTCTGTACAGTACAGCAGTAAACACAGCACCAGACATATTTTCTTTTCTCCTTCATTCATAAAACTCAGTTCTTCACAGACTTTCGGTACTTCAGTTAGAATATCTGCTGATACATGAGCTACAAGACTGCCCAGCTACATGAACTCAGACTAGCTTCCTTCTGACTACTTCTTATGCTGTAAACATTGACTGGTGTTTGCACTGGACTGACTGGGAACTGTGTTTGTACACATCTAGTGGTGCCTATGAAAATACTGGAAATTAATGAAATTATTGACATGCATTCTAGGATAGGTTATTTTTGTATGTCACCACTACATGTCACTACTGTGTGTCTCCTCTCTCCCGTAGTGTGTCCTCTCTCTCCCTTTACCCTTCTGCAGGTAGCCCTGACTCTGGAGCTCTATGTCTCTGATGAGCAGTCACCGGCCACATCAACCTGCCCAGTGTTTGATTCTTTGTTGTTGTGTTTTTTGTGTCTTGTTGCTTTTCTTCTTTTGTCTCTCCTCTATTCACTCACCCCAACTGGTCGAGGCAGAAGGCCGTTCACCAAGAGCTGGGGTCTGTTTGAGGGAGTATTTCCTCCCTGCTGTCGCCAAGTGCTTGCTCAACGGGGATTTGTTGGGTTTTCCCTCTATAATATTAGTGATAATAGTAAGGTCTAGACCTTACTTTGTAAATTGTCCTGAGATGATTGTTGTTAAATGGTCTTATATAGTGCTTTTCTACGCTTTACAGCACACTCAGAGTGCTTTTACCCTACTTAGCCATTCACCCATTCGCACTCACAAACGCTCACACATTCACACACCAGTGTTATCACCGGGAGCAACTGGAGGTTCAGCATCTTGCTCAAGGACACTTCGACATGTTGACTGGAGAAGCCGAACCGCTAATCCTCCGGTCAGGAAACGACCTGCTCTACCTCCTAAGCCACAGCTGCCCCCATTTTGTAAAGGTTAACATACAGTGCCTTGCGAAAGTATTCGGCCCCCTTGAACTTTGCAACCTTTTGCCACATTTCAGGCTTCAAACATAAAGATATAAAACTGTAATTTTTTGTGAAGAATCAACAACAAGTGGGACACAATCATGAAGTGGAACAAAATTTATTGGATATTTCAAACTTTTTTAACAAATAAAAAACTGAAAAATTGGGCGTGCAAAATTATTCAAATCCACATAAGGGATGACGGCAACATTCATAGATCCTGGAATGCACAATGAGGGGCAATGTTCATTCCTATTACAGAGGCCCACTGAAATTTTTTTGAGGAAAAGCTGTGTTAGACTGCATATTGTTTATAGTAAAGTATTTTTATATACAAATATAAAAATGAAAATGTTTCTGGAGTGGGACTTTAATTAATTATAGAAGTTGTGCAGAAGCTGCCCATAGCTCTACACAGTGATCCATGTGTGTACTGTATGTGTTTCTATGCTGCTCCAAATGAGTCTGTTCTGGTTCAACTTGTCTTATTAAATGAGCTTAAAAATAAAGTGACACCTTAGTTATAAAACACTGAGCAGGCTGTAACACACAAGAGTGTGT